GCCGGCGGACGCGCCTGGCCGGTGGCCTGCAGGGCGCCGGGACCCTCCAGCGCCCGGTGGAACCGGGGGCTGTATGCTGGTGGCTGAAGGTAGGACTCCTGGCTGGAGGAGAGAGGGGTGAGCTGGGCTTTCAGGGCGGTGACAGAGGCGGGGACGACGGGGTCGTCATTCTCCTCGTCCGACTGCCTGAACTCAGGGTACATGTCAGTCTCCTCCACGAAGGGGAAGCCCTCGATCCGCCGCGTCTTCAGGGAGGGCTCCATCTCCGCCGGGTCCATGACGAAGCGGCCATCCGGCCCGCGGCTGATGAGCTCGATGGGGGTGGTGGCCTCAGCTTCGGCCTCCGCCTTGGAGACGCTGTACTTCTTGCTGCTGATGGCTCGCTTGGTCTTCTTGTAAAGGGAGAGCTCCTTCTCCTTGGTGGGGCTCAGCATCCGCTTGGCCTGCGGGCCCTGGTCATCGGAGGACTCCGAGGGGGGGCGGAGCGTGCGGATGCTCTCGGGACTCACCTTGCCGGAAGACAACCTGGACCACAGGGGAGAAAAACCGAGAGAGGGGACGGTCACCCGGAGGGGGAAGGAGGTCTTCTCGCCCAGAAGAGCCGCCAGCCAGATCTGGAAAACGAAGCGCTACCAGCTCTCAAAAGAGGAACCGGTGGGAGAAATTTGCAGGGGCTAACCAGGACAGCAGAGTCTTGCCCGGCCACGGCACAGGCCAGAGGACCAGCAGCAGCACACATCATCGCTGCTCCTCGGCAGCGGAGCTCAGCACACTCGGCATGCTCCCCAGGGCAGGCAGCTCACAGCGATGCCTTGCCAACAAGCTCCACCAACACCTTGCAAGAAGCTCCACAGCCCCATCGGGGCAAAAGACGGATCCAGAGCTCACTTCCAATTCCTTCAAAGGTTTCCTACATTCGCCTGAGCTATCCATGCCTGGGAAAGCCCCCGAGAGGAGGGACATCAGGCAAACGTCCCCTCCCGCAGAATTCAGCATCTCCGAGAGAGATGCTGATGGATCATTTCAGACCAACTTTTTCCCTTCATTCTCACCACTCAAGCTTAAGGCCGAGAGCCTCAAAAGGCAGAGAACTTCAGAATAGTTCACTCATCCCTATCCAGAAAGCCTCGGACAAACAGGATTTAAAGGCAAAAGGTAGCAGATCCAACAGAGACAGAGCAGGCATGGTTATTTCAGTGCAGTGGACAAACCAAAAAAAAAAAAAAAAGGGCAAGATTACAATCCACCAGCACCGGGATAATTTTGCAATGGTCCAGGAGCCAAAGCACGAGGCGCCCACATCTCAGACTCCCACGCTCCCATCGGGAAGATGCTCCCACTGATTAGCAGCTGCACATGCTTTTGAGGTGCTCTGCAAGGAGCTGTGGCTACTGCAGCACCACGATCCACCACCTTTGGGCACTTGTGGAAAGAAGCTTCGGCGGAGCACTCTTCTTGGGAAAAGAAAATATACAGGTGTAAGATTCTCGGCATTTCCCAAGAAAAAACAGAGAATGACTCAAAAACTACACCGAGCTTGCACGAAGGACTCCATACACAGCAGGCTAGCCCTCCTCCTAATAAGCCCCTTCAAGCTGGGTGTGTAATGGAGTTCCACCAGTCAACTCCAGCTTTGGTCAATGTCCACAGATCCAACGGGGTCATTTCTTAACTTAAAGTTTGCTGTGTTTGTCCCTGCTGCTTTCTGCTCCAAAGCCTGTTTGTCTCATGAACCATTGTGTTCCCACGAGTTCAGGGAACACCCAAAACAACTCGTCAGAAGCAACCAAAGTCAGACATTTCCATCTGAGCCTTGCAACAACTATAGGAAGGAGGCACCTTGAAGTGCCACAGCCGGGTGCCACATCTAAGAAAGATACTTACGGGGACTCCAAACTCTTCCTGCAGTGGGTTATCGAGAGAGGAGGGTCTGGAAGAGAATAAAAAGGGGAAAGAAGAGAGAACGCTAAGGAGGCGCACCACGACAGAGACAAGACAAACTCAACATCAAGACAACAAAAGACACGCAACGAGAGGCCAAGGTTTCATTGCTCCAGTGCTTTAATGGTTGCTGACAACAAACAGCTCCCGTCACGGGGTCCTGCCCATCCTGCTGCCGCAGTTTCGCAGGCTAGAGAAGGAGCCGTTTCCCCTGCCCTCTCCGGCTCCCCAGCGGCCCTTTTCCCTACCAGCCACTCCTGCGTGGCGGCTGCAGCCCCAGCTTTTGGGAAGCAGAGTGGCAGGGTCTCCTTTGCAGGGGGGCTCTTCTCTAGCCTAGTGCGGCCATCGGGCGCTGCCTGCTCCAGGTTGGGCAGAGCCGGGCAGGAAGCAGCTGGAGAGCCCAGCTCCGGGGGGACCTTGAGGAGGTGAGTGGTCCGCCCCCCACCTCTGGCCCAAAGTCACCCCAGCCCTAAACCCCCGGATCTAGGAGTTATCACCACGCGAGAGCGCTCCCTCGGAAATCCCAGGCTAGTTTCTCTGTCGCCTCTTCACCCACCCTGCCTCTCCCGCTCCCGACCACGGGCGCTTTCAGGCACAGACGAGGGATGAAGTCAGGGCTTCACCTGAGGACGCGCACGGACGGAAGAAGAGACAGACAGGGAAGAAGGTTACCACCACAACACAAACAGGGAGGAGAAACGAGAAGGAGGAGGCGGGAGGGAGGAAGGAAGAAAGCACACGGGGGACGGGCTCACCTTTCTTGCGCTTGAGCTTGCGTTTGCGTTGCTTGTTGACGAAGCAGGCGGCGAGTGTGCTGAAGAGGATGGCGGCAGCCAGGAAGCAGATGGTGGCAACGATGCCGGCCAGCACCGGGCGGGCTAGACCCTCGTCCGTCAGGTCAGGCTGAGGGAATACGTCTGGGGGAAAAAAACACGACAATTAGATGTTATGCACACACCCCTGCCTGCTGCCTCCCCCAGGGACCTACCACAGCGTGAAGGCAACTGGTACCAGGAATAATAATCTCTAAGTCAAGACCTTGCTTCCAACCCAGCCCACCCGGGGAGAGCAGTCAGCGCTGCTGCGGGCCGTGGCCGAGGGATTTCGTGACCTCGCCCTGGACAAACCCTTTTGTCTTAGCTGATGGACACCCAGGGAAGAAGCCCCCACGCCACACAAACGCACCTTTATGTACAAGCACACGCAACTGCGCCAAAGCTGCAGCTGCCTCCCAGCCCAATAACCCGCTGCAGCTCAGGCTGTAGCAGCGTAAGGTATTTTCCCCCGTGCATCCGTGCCACGGACTTCAGCTCTTCAACGAAAACTGGACTCCGAACCCTCATCACACCCCTTTCGCTAACGCCAAACGCATCCGAACCACCAGCAGACCTCAGCTGTGGCCGCTTGCGGACGCAAGCCCTGCACACACCAGCGCTCCGGCCACGCACCCGCATGCAGGGGCAGCGTGCCTTCACCGGCCGGGAGCACCAGCTTTCAGCCCGGGAGGGCAGCTGCCTGGGGCCGGGGTGCACGCCCACCCTAAGAGCGCTGCCAAAACCCCCATCAGAAAAATTGCGGGAGGAGGAAGGGCAGGCAAGCAGGCAGGCTGCAGCAGACCGGCTCTCCGCACCGCGCCGGCACCACTTGGGGGCAGAGAGAGACCGCT